CCCGGAAAAATTGTATTTTAAAAAAAATAAATAAATAAATAAAAATAAATCAAAAATCAAATTAACGCTGCTTGCTGCTTTGCTTGAGTGACGAACTGACGATTCTGTTCTCTTTCATTTCTAACCCTAAGTCCCTAACGCTATCTCCAAGACTCCAATCTCCAAACTCCCTGGCTGTCTCCCCCTCTCCCTCACTCTCACTATCTCTCAGCCAGTCAGCCCAACGCCCACCGCCGACAGTGACACCTCCCTGCCTTCCTCACTCTCTCAGGCGAAGCCCAGGCGCCCACCGCATGAGACAGCTGCCGTGCGATTCTCCATTTCTCCGGTAAGTTATTTTTTTTTTAATGTAAATCTAAATTATCTAATTATGTTTGGGTATTTTGTATTCAAAATAATGAATTAAGTGTTAGAATTTATATGTTTATTCATGTTTCAATTGCTTATAATGATTGTTTGATGTTTGCATGTTGAATTTCTTTTTTTTAGTTCATTTGTTTCGAATTTATGTTTTTTTTTTTTTTTGGTTTTCTTGAGTTTAGGGTTTACGGTTTTAGGGTTTAGGGGTTAGAATTGATAAGAAGTATGGTTTATTTTCGAATTTTTTTTGAATTTATGTTTTTTTTTTTTTGGTTTTTTTGAGTTTAGGGTTTAGGGTTTAAAATTGATAACAAGTATGGTTTGTCTTCGAATTTATGTTTTTTTTTTTGGTTTTTTTGAGTTTAGGGTTCAGGTTTTAGAATTGATCACCCTATCACAGATTCACAGCCTTTGAATCTCTGTTTAAGCCAAATCTGTGTAATATTTTTGTATTGAAGATGGTTCAAGCGCTACTTTGCACACAAGATTGGCTTAGAGCTAAGGAAGTGCCAATTGTTGATGTGGAAGAAAATTTGAAAGAGTTAGAGGAAATAGAGAAAGGTAGTAATAATTTTATGTACTTGAAATTTTGTTACACCAAATTTATTATTTCATTGTTATCAATCATTAATATATTCTATATTGTATTTTATTTAGAGGTGCAACGTGGTGAATCTAACGATGTAGACGATGAAGTTGTTTTCGTGGACTCATTAGTGTGAATCACGCGATCAAAGGGAAAACAACTCGTTGGAGAATTTATGTATTTCTAGTACTTGAGACTTTGAGAGTTGAGACTTAAGAGAATTTATGTAATGTTATGAGTTTTCGTGGACTTATTTGTATTTTCGGTGGATTCAATTGTATTTTTGGTGTTTGAGAATCGGGACTTTATAGACTTTATTTAGTTTTGTGATTGATAATTTTGGTTTGTATGTAATTATTAAATTATGCAACAGGTCTACAAATCAAAAAACAGGTCCATATGCAGGTCCAATAGGTTTTTTATTAAAAAAAAAAAACGAAAAAAACACAAAATAGGTCCATTCAGGTCTAAACCTGGACCGGACCTGATTTTTCAGGTCTGGCCCGGAACCGGACCTGTTAATTCAAGTCCGGTCCCCGGTCCTCATAATTACCCAATTCAGGTCCCCGGTCCAAACAGGTCTGGTCCAGGTCCGGTCCGGTTTTGGACCGGTGTACACCCCTACATACGCCTATTTAAAGGCCTTCATTAGTTAATGGAAATAAATCATCAATTTTTCCAACAAATAACCAAACTTCATTAAACCTCTCTTTTTTCATCTTGTTTGTTGCTCTTCAGAAGCCTGTGTTTTTAGTATTAATTGGTGTAGAGGTCATCACTGCTCACCATTGGAATTGCCGAAAAATTTGTGTATGCGTCTAAGCTTCGAATAGGTTTGTTATTCATTCTTATTAGAAGTTTTGTTATGATCGATTTGCTTGAAATTTATATTTTTAAGGCCATCACTTTGTTATTTATGTCCTATCTAAAATTTTATTTTATTTGACTACCAACAAAATACAAAAATGTAAAATTTGCTACCCAAACCGTTAGTGGGGCTCCCTCTTTAACTAAAAGTTTTGTTTTTTTCGATTTACATGTTGAAAAATATTCCCTTTAAATTTTGAAGGTCATTTTTAGCTCATGAGGGTCCAAGCTAAGTTAAACTTAAAATTGACAAAAAGTAACATAAAGCCCTTGTTTTGCGTGTTAAGAAATACATTGATTTGCATGTCATTAATTTTTTTAGCCGCAAAAATTATTCGGGTAAGGTTTTGGGGTTGATTTAGTTCTTACGGGTCCAAATTGAGCTCAAAAATGACAAAAAATAACATAATTGCATTGTTTTGTGTGTTCAATAATGTCAATTTAGACACGCAAAATGAGGTATTTACTTTATGTGTTGCCATTTCAAGCTCAATTTGGATACATAAAGGCTAAACTGACCTCTAAAATTGTTAAATATTGAGATAATATGAAATGGTCCCGGACAACCCAAACAAGGAGTAGGAGAATTTTGGTCACAAACAAGATTAAGGAGGTTCCATACTAAAACCAATTGGTGATAGTAGGAGTTACTCCTCTACCTTATAAAGTGAAACTATACCTCATTTTTTTTCTCAAATGTAGGATACTCGATCATCACAAGTGGGCTACAATGGGTGTCAACATTACCCGAACAATTTTCACGGTAAAAAGAATGGTTACCAGCAAATCAATGCATTTCTTGACGCGCAAAACAAGACATCTACGTTATTTTTTTAAGCCAATTTTGAACTTAATTTGGATCCTTAAGAGCTAATAAAATGACCCCCTTAAACCTTAATGGAACATTTTTCGACATGCAAAACAAGAAAAAAAAAATTAATAGCTGACACTAACAAAACCCTAATGGAAAACGTTTAAGTGGTAGAAAAATCAAGAAATCAAGATTTTTCGATCCAATCGTTCCTAGAAAGTCTAAAGAAATCTCTCTCTCTTACTCTCGATCATTTTTACCCACTAGCAGGTCAGTTTGTCACCGAGGTACACGAAGACAAGCATGAAAGCGTAGTGTATGTAGATTGTAACAAGGGTCCTGGGGCTAGATTCATTCATGCCGATTTAAATATGACCATTTCCGATATTCTTTCACCAAAAGATGTTCCTTTGGTAGTTCAATCACTTTTTGACCTTAATGAGAAGTTGGTGTCAGTTGAAGTCACTGAGCTCATAGATGGTATTTTTATTGCTTGTACGGTAAATCATAGTGTTACAGATGGAACTTCATACTGGCACTTTTGGAACATATGGTCTAAGATACATAGAGGAAATGGTAAGGATACAATATGCGAGTCAGATCTACCTGTCTACACCCGTTGGTATCCTGATGGACATGCTCCCGGCCCTTACCCAATTCCCTTTATTCACCCTGATGAATTTGTAAGAAAATTTGAACCGCCTCAACTTAGAGATCGGATATTTCATTTCTCATCTGAGTCTATAGCAAGAAGAAGATTATTTACGTGTAATCACTTAGCTGCCAACAATAGAAGAAGATTAGATTAATCACTTAGCTGCCAACAATAGAAGAAGATTAGATCCTCCTTTACCAGAGTATCACAGCCGGCGAGCTACTAGAAAATAATTTGGGGTGTCCAGTTATGGTATATCTACTAGGAAAATTATTTTCTATCGTATGTAATCTTAGGTTTTCTATGAATATTCTAACTATTGAACTTTTCCAAGTCACATATATTATATTAACTCTTTATGAACTTTTCCGTATGTGTTGGGCAATCACAATTAGCCAATCAATAATTCTGTGGTACCTAATGAGATGTACTTTTTTAAACTTTTATGACTAGCAAAATTTACTATGAGAATGTCTGCAGAAATTTCCAGTCATATATTAAACCATTCAATGGCGACATATGTCTGCAGAAATATATATTAGACCATTCAATGGCGACATATATACACATTTGTCATACCAAGCAAAGCTTGGTCATTGGAAAAGTTTGCATCTCACAATCAAGAGCTTGTGGAATCAAACCCCACCAGAGGCACTTAGGGTGGGAATTCCCTTATCCTTCCCCCCACTTCTAAAATACCTAGCTCGCTAACCCGAGCCGAGAGGACCTGTGAGAGATTCCGGCCTGTTAGGGCTCTTCTCCTTACCAAAAAAAAAAAAAATATACATTTGTCATTTGGTATACTATAAGGAGTACTTTTTTTTTGTCTTCGTTTTTCTTGTATATGACTAGTAACACAGTGCATATTCTAGTATCGTTTATACGGATAAACCAACATACATTTATTTCTATATTAATCAAAGGGTTTTTAAACCTACAATTTGATAAAAGAAAACAAAATTATAGTCTTCAACAAATTATTGAAACATTAAGATTATTTGTATTTATTTCAAGCTAGGGGTGAGCAAAAAATCAGGGTACCCTGAATCAAAACCAAAACTTGTAAGGAATCGCAGGTTTCGGAACCGGAACCTATATAAGAGGTTCCGGTTCCTGGTAACAAAATGGAGAACCTGTTGCAACAAGTTCCGATTCAGGTTTTTAATTTTTTTAAACCGGAACCTGTAGGGTACCCTGTAACCTAATAAAAGTATCACTTAAGTTCAAATTGTACACCAATTCTAACCTATTTTTTAAATAATAAATATCAAAATTACAATTATAATAAATATATGTATTAAATTTGCTAAACAATTACTATTAGTTTGTTTTATTTGCGAGTTATAAACATTATAAATTAGTAACCATCTAGTTTGCATTTCACAAGCTCTTGCGACCGTTGCAATATTATTTACTAAAGCGGTCAAGCTTAGACCTTAAGCAAGCCTTTCTCGGGAAGTAACCCGTGTTTTATTGCTTTCATTCTCTTTTCTTTTTAGAATAGGTTTTGACTCATGAAATTTTTTTTGTGCTTTGTGCTAGGTTCATAACTTGATATGTTCTTATGCATTGGTTTAGATCAAGAATCAAGGAAATTTGACTCCACTTTTGCTAGCACATGGAGAACAAGATTCAATTTTAGAGGTAGTCAGCTTCAAGAAGGTTTAATTGGGTCGTTTGCGGGTATTTACACCTATCTAATATCCGGTAATATCCTTTTTCATAAAAAAAATTCTGCAAAAAGTTATTAAGTATATTACAAGACAGGGTACCCTGAATCGGGATCGAAACCTGTAGATTCTGATTCCGATTCCCAATTTGAGGAACCTGTTTCAACAAGTTCAGTTCCGGTTCCAGAAATTTTAACAGGGTACCCTGTTATGCTCATCCCCATTTCAAGCTAAACACATATGAAGAATCATCCGTATATAGTCCCTCATCAACCCATTGTTCACCTAATTAAGCTGCATGCTAATGAAAACTAAAACTAGAACTCCCAAAAAAAAAAAAACTTGAAGATGAATTCTTCTACCGTTAACCAGATCTCTGAATTCTTTGTGAAGCCAAAATATGTTGTAGAAGAATCAAAACATGAGCCTTATCATCTTGCTCCCACAGATTTAATTATGCTTTCTTTCCATCACATCCAAGTCGGTCTCATGTTCACCAAACCTTCCCATCTAAACGATCAAGAGTTTTCGATCCTTTCGTTCCTTGAAGGTCTTAAAGACTCTCTTTCACTCACCCTCGTTCATTTCTACCCTCTGGCGGGTCAACTTGTCACGGAAGTAGATGAAGAAAAGCATGAATGTCGAGTCTATGTAGATTGCAACAAGGGTCCTGGGGCTAGATTAATCCACGCGGCTTTAGACATGACCGTTTCTGACATTCTCTCCCCAAAGGATGTACCTTTGGTTGTTCAGTCATTTTTTAACCTCAATGAGGAGGCTGTGAACTACGACGGTCACACAAAACCTTTGTTGTCTGTCCAAGTCACTGAGCTCCTAGATGGGGTGTTTATTGCGTGTTCCATAAATCATTGTATTACTGATGGAACTTCATATTGGCACTTTTGGAACAAATGGTCCGAAATACATAAAGCTAACAACCAAAATAATCAAATTTATGAGTCAAGTCGTCTACCAATCCACAACCGTTGGTTTCCCAATGGATGTGATCCCCCTATTGCCCTTCCCTTCACCCACCGCGATGAATTCATAAGAAAATTTGAACCTTCTCAACTTAGAGATCGGATCTTTCATTTCTCATCTGAGTCTCTAGCAAGGTTAAAAGCCATAGCAAACAAAGAAAGTAACACCGAAAATATTTCTTCTTTTCAAGCCTTGTGTGCACTTGTTTGGAGATCGATAATTAGAGCAAATCGAGTACCTCATGATCAAGTCATCTATAGTGATATACTTGCCAATACGAGGCACAGGTTAGATCCACCTTTACCCGAATTCTATTTTGGCAACTCTGTTAAGGAAATCACTACAAGAACTACAACTAGCGATTTACTTGAAAACAATCTAGGGTGGGTGGCATCATTGTTACACCACTCGATAGCAAGTCTCAATGACAAATTTTTGCGTGATTCAATCAATGAATGGTTGCAATCTCCGTTTTGTTTACATCATGCAGAGCTATATGACTATAACAAGGTGACAATCGAACAATCGCCAAGATTTGACATGTATGGCAACGAGTTTGGGCTAGGGAAGGCGGTAGCAATTCGTAGTGGGTATGCAAACAAAGCTATGGGGGTGATATATGCTTGCCCGGGACGTGAAGGAGGCGGAGCTGTGGATCTCGAAATATGTTTGCCACCTGATTCGATGAATGCTCTCGAATTAGATGAAGAATTCATGGCCTTTGTATCATTGCCGGAGTAAGGATTTACTACGTTCATTATATTAATTTTTTCTTTAATTTATCAGATTGTTGTCAAATTTATTATCAAACTAGATGGTGATCCGTGAGATGCACGGTTTTTTCATCTAAGATTTTTAATTATTTGATTTATGTATTTAATAATTTCAGACAAAATTACAAAAGTTTAATTTTTTTTTTTACTATAATTTATAATGAATTTATTAAATATATATAAATTGTAAATATGATATTTTTTCCGCTATATAAAATCTTTAATGTGAAATGATAAATTTTTAATAATTTAAATCCTAAATCATTATTCATTGTTTTACCATATCTTTTATTTCGGTAGAATTACCAACCTCGTCCACAACCAACCTACTACATCAATGGATAAATTGAACCTTGAAATGTTAGCCAAACTGAAATTGATATAAATAAAATCTTTTCATTTATATAAAATAAATTAATATATTTACCAATAAATGAAAATTTGTTGCGATATAAAATCAAATCTATGCATTGGAATTTTTTCATCATCTCCTAAAATAACCAAAGTCATCCATATATTAAGTGTACAACATCTAATCGTATGCCATTACATAAACAAATAATCGTTAAGTATTCTAAATAAATACAATGTAACTAATAATTACAAATATAAATTTAAACATAAGATTTTAAAAATTACCCGGACATTGATGACCTAAAACTAACACAAAATTTGCATGATGGGGTTTTGTATTGATACGAAATTTTATTTGTGTTTAGTATATTTTTTTTGAATTTATTATACTCGTAGTATTGAATTAATAAATTTATCTTTTCCTATATTTTTACTTTATTTTTTTCATTAAAATAATTTAATTCGAGGATTATAATCTACGTGACATTAAAATTTATACTAAATTTTATTCCTGTTTGGTATATTTTTCCTATATTTTTACTTTATTTTTTTCATTAAAATAATTTAATTCGTGAATTATAATCTACGTGGCATTAAAATTTTAGATATATCAAATCTAATTCGTTACTTTTATCTAGGTGGCGACATAATTTTTTAATTCAAAAATAAAATACAAATTATTGGTCGAAATAAGTATATTTCTTACGTGGCACTCCAAATGCTCTTCAAAAATGCCTACTTTATATATATATATATATATATATATATATATATATATATATATATATATATATATATATATATATATATATATTAGAATATATTAGATTAGATTAGTAATTTGGTTCACAATTATCGTTGAAATGCCATGAGCCTTTTTGGGCTTGTACATGGCTTGAGTGCTTGACTATTCTCTTTCTTGGTTTACAATTAGAAATTTCATTGTAATTGGTCAATAGCACATTAAAATGAATGTATAATTGCATTACTTATCTTATGTTGCATTAATATTTTCTCAAATTCTCAAAAAAAATAAATAAAAACGTTGCATTAATATTACATAAATACCAATACCTACCTTCTAAATTGTACCATCTAAAACACCTAAAACACCAAATGTATATTTTCAATCTGATTCAGGAAAATAAATTATTCTACAAATATATTGTATTTTTATTAGACTATGTTTAAGCCCTTTTTTATTAATATAATCATTAATGACTATACTGTGTTAATGTCATAGTTTAATCTCAAGAAAGCAGGCCACATGAAGGTGCTGTCTTATTATTCAAGTACACACTTGCGCAGTATATAGGACCTTATTAACATATTCATACACGTTACAAAAAAATTAAAAAAATTATTACTCCGTATTCAATAACATAACTAATAGAAAAATTATTGTATGGAGTACTAAAACATCTCATAGCATGTTTGAATTTCATCAAAAACTTAGCTTATTGGATTTTCAATGATCCCATAGCCTTGGCCCTTTGTCTAAGAATAACCTTCATTTTCCAGTCGATGTCTTCGGAATTTCATCAAAAATGACAGTCTTAGGAGCCATGAAACGAGGCAAATTGTTACGGCAAAACTCAACTATCTCTCCCTCGTTAATCTTGTAGCCATCCTTCAGCTTGACAAACGCGCAAGGTGTCTCACCCCAGTGATTATCAGGCCTTGCGACAACGGCTGCCTCGAGTATAGCCGGGTGACTATATAGTACCGTCTCAACTTCAATTGTGCTAATATTCTATCCACCGGAGATTACAATATCCTTTAAACGGTCCTTGATTTCTATGTAATTGTCGCAGTGTTTAACAGCAACGTCACCAGAATGAAACCATCCTCCTTTTAGAGCTTCCTTTGTTGCTTTTAAGTCCCTCAAGTATCCACTCATTACAGTATTTCCTTTGAGCATTATCTCCCCCATTGTTTTACCTATTCATGCAAAATAATGTTATATTTTCGCCTCTAAATTTATCACACGTAAAAAAGTTGCATTGTAACACATAAAAAAAGGTTGTTTAATTTATAGCAATATTACCATCAGCTGGAACACTTTCCATAGTGATAGGATCTCTAACGTCAACATCTTCTAGCCCAAGATGTTGTACACCTTGTCTAGCTTTGATCCTCGATTTTTCAATCGGATCAAGAGAATCCCACTCTGGATTCCAAGCGCAGTATGTGCCCGGGCCATAAGTCTCGGTGAGGCCATACATGTGAATAACTTCGAAACCTAATTCTTCCATCTTGGTTAGTATTTGAGGAGGCGCGGGTGATCCTCCGGTGAGCACCCTTACCTTGTTTGGAAGTGTTCTTCGGTCACAAGTAGGGGTGTTCACAATCATGTTCAAAACGGTAGGAGCTCCACCAATGTGAGTGATATTGTGGAGGACAATGTTATCAAATATGGCCTTTGGGGTGACCTTTCGAAGGCATATGTTCGTGCCCCCTTGGGCCGCCACACCCCACGAAAGGCACCATCCGTTGCAATGGAACATAGGGACGGTCCAAAGGAATGTCGGTCTTGGACCCATTTCATGAACCAAAACTGTGGAGATGGCGTTGATGTAAGCTCCTCGGTGATTGTAAACAACTCCTTTGGGACGAGATGTGGTGCCTGAGGTGTAGTTGACGCTAATAGGGTCCAATTCATTGATTGGCATTCGAGGTTGGAATTGATCGTCCCCTTTGTCCAGGAGATTCTCATATTCATAATCATATCGAACATTCTCATGTTCATCAAAATCATCGAGACCCTTAATAAGGACAATTAATGGTAGCTCTGCCCCGGATTTAGATAATAGATTGAGGGCTTCTGAAGCGATATTAAGTAATTGATAGTCTACAAATAAGACCTTAGCTTGGGAATGATCAAGGAGGTTGGAGATCATGGATGAATCAAGGCGCGAGTTAAGAGCACAAAGAATCGCTCCGGCCATTGGTACTGCGAAATGAAGCTCGTACATTGCAGGCACATTGGGAGACAATGTTGCAACCTGCTCATTCACAAAATGGAAGAATAACGAGTCATGCTAATTGTTTATTACATACATTTGGGCACCTAAATGGTTATGAAAAATCTATCATTACTTATATATATTTTTTCTATCTTTAACTAAAAGTGCGAAAACTCTAGTAATCATTATCTTGTCATATGATATAAAAGAGTTTCATGGAAGTTTAGACGTAATTAAGAATATATGTTTGGTTGACCAATTCATATGAACTTTTATGTGAACTTCAGTTTCCTAGATTTGTCACAATCATCTTATGTACTAATGAAGTTAAGAGCTAGGGTATGTTTAGTCGTCCAAGGTCACATGCCACATTTCGATAAGTGTTAATAATCTCCTGCGTAACAGGGTTGTACCTTTTATGACTCGTACATCCCCGAAGTAGAATGAAATCATAGGATATAAAATTCTAAGAAAATTTTGCCATACAAATGATAAAAATCTAACACAGGATACCAAGTAGAATCATATGTACTAATGTATGGATTATCAAGGTGAAAGCGAATAAACATACGAGATGACCAGGAGAAATGCGAAGGTGAGTGGTGAGAGCGGAAGCAAGTTTGAGACAGCGCCTATAAGTCTCACTCCAAGTGTAGCTAGAACCACCATAGACAACGGAAGTATCATAGGGAAACACTTTGGCAGCGCGTTTAATGAAGGTGATTGGGGTCAAAGGAGTGTAGTTAGCCGGACATCTTACTAAACCATCCACCTTTCTCCACGACAAATCTCCTCCTTCCCCACCATCTCCACTAAACGAGTCTAGTGAAACACTTAATCGTGATTTTGGTGGTGGGGTTAAGTATACTCTAGGGGCGCACAAACTCACGCTTTTTATAACCTGTGAAGTTTAGAATCATTATTGTATAATTTGAAGTGGCTCAAACCTTTGGTATGGTGTGAAGATGATATATTATTTCAAATATGTATAGGGAAGAAACTATAACATTATGTCTAAGATAAGGATAGATTAACTTACGTGATTACGTAACGAATACTTCAATAATTTAGTGTGCGCTTTGATTAGTATCTTTATTAATTATAATTACAACCCGATTAATTAATATACAAAGAAGACTTTCATGTAAATTTTAAAGAAGGATACACGTACATACGTTTCCAACTAAAACTCGATGAAATTTTCAGCTCTATAAACGGTAGGGGCGATAGCCAACTTGATTACGCTAAAATCGTTAATCATAAAATAATGGCAATGTTGTTTCGAATTCAATGACAACTAATTTTCTTTGAATACTAAACATAATGAATTAAGAACGGGTCTATTTCTATAACTACCAATATTTGAACATATGAGTGGCAAATAAATTTCAATGATAAAAGTGCGCGCGTGATTGAGTTGCGTGATCTTAGTAGTGTAAGAATGACAAAACTCGCCTAGATTTGATAAGTACGGTAATAAATTCAGTCAGACGCGCTACCATTGCGCCACGGATCCTTCTGATATTCTTTGGCACTTTTATAATTAAGACTTTAGCTGCTGCAAATCTAATCCTTTTTATTTCTCTGTAACCTACTCTGTATGACTGACTGACAGTTTATCATGTGTGAGAGATTGGCTTGTAAATGGACTATTGAGATCATAAAAATGGGTTTGGATAAGGTTTCTGGGATGAATTTTAAATTTTATTTTGGGCCATTGTTCCTTGGCAAAATTAAAGTTGGCC